GCTGGGAGCTTCCTGGGGCTTTTATTTGGGCAGATTTGAGGGGTTTTTTTTGGCAAAATGCAGCCTGGGCTATGCAGGGAAAGGAGCTCTTGAGGCTGGTGAGGGAGAAAATCATAATTAGCTGTGGAAGCCCAGGGAAAACATTCCTTAGGTGGCTCCAGGGTGATGAGCCCTTCTGAAGTGTGAGCTGCTGTTCCTGGGAGGATGTGCTGTGCTTTGGCCTGGGATAAAGCACTCCAGGAGGAGCTCAGTTGTCCCTCTTGTCCCCAGGTGCCATCCTGCTTTTGGGGCTGTCCGGGTGATGGATTTTTTGGGGAGGAAACCATCCATCCTCTTCCTAATCCTATGTGATGAGGCCCAGGCAGGGATGAGGCTGGATGGCCGTGGGTTTTTTTCCATTCCTGAAAGCCCCCAGATCCTTCTCCACCTGCTCCTGGCTAATGGTGAACCTGGCAGCTGGGAAGGTGGGATTTAAGGGATGCAGCATGTGAAGGACCTGGCAGTGAGAGCTGACAGCTCACTCGTGTGTGCTTCATCCCTCCCGGGAGCAGGCGAGGCTGTGAGTGCATCCAAACCCCCTGGATGGGTGAGGAACAACCCCAAAATCCCATTTGGCAGCTTATTTTGGGAAGCACCGGGGCGAGTCTCTCCTGGTACCAGTTGATGGCAACTCCATTTGCCTCATCAATATTAAATAAAGTTTCCTGCTTTTTCTATTGACCTAATTCTGAAAAGAGGTGAGAATAGAGATGCTGAGCCTTGTTGCTGCCTCCCTCTGAGGATTGCATGGGCTGGAGGATGGGATGGGATGGGATGGGAGGGGATGGATAATGCCCCTGCTGTCCCCTTGGATGGGGACGCAGAGCCACGACCCTGCAGGCAGGGACTCTCTGGATACCCCACCCTGGGGTAGGATGAGTGATCCCCCTGCCTGTCCCTCTTGTCCCCTTGGATGGGAACATGGATAGGGCCACATCCCTGCAGGCAGGGATGCTCTGGATGTCCTGTGTGGTGGGATGGATGGGATGGATAATTCCCCTGCCTGTCCCTGTTATCCCCTTGGATGGGGATGTGGAGGGGGTCATGTCCCTGCAGGCCGCAGGGATGCTCTGGATCCCTGTGGGGTGGGTGGGACCCCAGAGCTGCCTGGCACCCCTGGGTGACTCACACTGCCCTGCACTGTGAGTCAGTTTTGTTTGCCAGAGATGAAGGATCTGCAAGAAGCGCCATTTTCTACGTAGGCTTGTTCCCATGGGATGATGAGCAGGATCCATCTCCTACGCTGCCCCCAAATACCCAATTTTTGGCCTCAGAATTGCCGGGCCAGACCTGAATTCAGCTGGAAAGCTCAGAGCAACCTGGCTGAGCTGCTTTCTGGTTTTAAGGCCATTGCAAACAGAATATCTGAGTTTCCCAGAGAAAGCAGAGCACAGAAACAGCCCCAGGGCTGGATCTTCCTGCTGCTCTGCTGCTGAAGGCAAGGAGCAGAGCCAAAGGCATTGGGAATCTTAAAAACCACTTTCTGCATCTGCTCGTAGCTTTTCTTGGGAGGCAACAACCCAAAAAGAGTTAAATCCGTTTAAAAATGCAGGATTTGTTATGAACAGACAGTTTTTATTGTATTTCCCTTTTGTTTCCTCCCAGTGCAACAATTGGGATGGGGAAACCACCCAGCTCCGTGCCAGCTCTGCTCGGGGAATTTGCTTTCCATGGGCAAGTTGGAGCCAACACAAAGCCCTGGCACGCTGGAAAGCTCGTTTTTTGTCAAAAATAAAAGGCCTTGAAAAACTCTCACTTGTGCCATGGATGCTGGTCCCACACCCGTTTGATGGGGGACGAGGAGAGCCATGGTATTCCCGAGGGAGTTGGGACTCCCATGTGGAGTTGGCACATTCAGAGCCAGTTTCTCCCTCCTGGAACACCTTTTTCGGAGCTGGATCCCAAGCAGGTTATTCCCTGCAGCCACAACGCATCTGATCTCGCTAAGTCAGAGTTAACGGAGGGGTTGAGAGACGTTTTAATTACAGCTTTGGGTTTCCCGCGTGATTTATCCCGGGCAACGCAACCAATTTATCCATCAGCACTTACCAGGGATCTGAGGCAGAAAGGAGGCGTGGGGGGTGTTTGTGGCGGTGGCTCAGGAGTTGTTTAAGAGAGATTGGAAATGAAACAGGGATGTTGCTTAAAAAACCCCTGCCTGGCATGAAGGACTTGTCTCCAGCCAGGAAAATTAATGAGCGATACCTTTTCCGAACTCCAGTTCCCCTCTTTTGCCAAGCAGGGTTCGTTTCTCTTTGGGATGTGCTGGTGGGAATGAGGGAATTGGGGTGATGTTCCAGTGTCATTTTGTGATCAGGTGGCATTGCAATTTCCTTTTACCATGGCAAACCCCCTGGCAATGCTTTTCCGAGCAGGATCCGAGCCAGTGCCGCAGGAAGAGAGGCAAAGAGAGGCTGATGCTGTTTAATGATCCTTAGAGAAGCGTGTGATGTCTCAGGTGAGATGTTGCTTAAACAGTGCCTGAGAAGTATTAAATCCCCCTATTAATACAGTATTTAACACTGCAGTGGAAAAGCACCCTGGTAAATAAACAGAGGAGACAGAGGGAAAAAGTGCTGACAGGGCAGTTGTTTTCTGTGCCCGATGGAGAAATGGTTTCTCTCATCCCAGGTGGTGAAGTTGTGTGTGGTTGGAAGGGACCTTCAAGCTCATCCAGTTCCACTCCCTTGCCATGAGCAGGGACACCTTCCACTATCCCACATTGCTCCAAACCCCATCCAACCTGCCCTTGGATGCTTACAGTGATGGGGCAGCCACAGCTTCTCTGGCCAGCCTGTGCCAGGGCCTCTCCACCCTCACAGCCAAGGATTTTTTCCCAGTGTGGATCTAACCCTGCCCTCTGGCAGTGGGAAGCCATTCCCCCTTGTCCAAAGTCCCTCTCCAGGGACCGACGAGGGAATGTCCTTCATTCCCAGGGGAAGCCTGCAGCGGGAGGACTTTGCAGCTGGGAAGGACTGTTCCTCCAGAGCTATTAAATCCCGATTACAGTGATGGATGCGGCATCGCTGCGGCACAAGCTGGGAGGTGGTGGATGGATGGGGGGTTTTTTGCTGCCTATCGATCTCTTTTGCACCCAAAGGAGAATAAAAGCTGTTTCTCACCCAATAGCTTCAGGATATTAAAGCCAGTGAATCTCCCATCCCTTTTTCATCCCAGGTGCCTGAATGTATTTCCCACCGTACCACTCCCGGTGCAAACCCTTGGCAGGAGCTATTGCAGGGGGTGAGAAACCCACCTTTGAGCAGAGAAACCTTGGGCTGCGTCAGCGTGAGACACAGGGCTGGGGCTGTACGGGGTGAGCTGCATTGCTCCCTTTGGGACAGGAGCAAAGGTACGTGGGATACAGGGACCCATCCATAGAGATTGGTTTGCAGGAGGTTCAAATCCTGGACCTTCAGTGCCGTGTCCTGCTGTCAGGATGGGTAATGGGGCAGCAGGGACGTCACCTCCTATCCTCCTGGATAACCTCGGCTGCTGTGGGCACATGAACATCACCTCCCATCCTCCTGGATACCCTCAGCTCCGGGAACTCCCCCGAGCGAGCTCAGCTTGCCTGGCAAAACACTCCAACCCAGCAGAGGGATGAGCTGGGTTTGGAGACAACCCACTCTTGCTGAATTAGTAAAGAGGCCTTGAGCTGCCAGAGAGGTTTTTCTTGTCACATCATTTATTCATCATTCATAAAAATATCAGGGGCAAGGCCGGGACATGGAGATCATGCCAGAAGAGGTTGGCATGTGTGTTTGTGTGTGTGTGGCATTTTTCATGCTGCAGGGGCACAACAGCCTGTGCCTGATGCATGGGCCCGCAAGGAGATCCCACCAGGAATTTGGCTGCACCCCTGTATCTGGGTGGGAGCTTTGCTCATACATCTCATAGCTGTAATGCAGGGCAGGTTCCCCAATTCCAAACCCACCCCAAAGGTCCTGTCAGCCTGGGAGGAAGATGCTGCAGCCAATAAACCCCGTGTTTCCCTGGGCACTCATGTAAAGCACCATTAGAAACACACCAGGAACACAAACTTTAAGGCTAAAATATCCCTCCCAGCTAGTTCATCCACGCTGTTGAGGAGTGGGTGTGCTCAGGGCATCCCCCCGTGGCAAGGGGACCCCCCTTGCTGGGCCCTGCCCCCACAGCAAACTGCTCTGAGTGACCCCCAACCCTCCATCCAGCTCGGAGGTGTAGAGCCATTAGTCATCCTACTGTACACAGGAGCAGCTGTGCCAATTAGCATAATTAACACACGAGGGCCAATTAATCTCTTGATTATGCCTGCCATTCACTTATCAGCTGCTATTATGGGAAGATCGCCTTTTGTACCTCTGCTTTCTATGCAAATGAGCTGGTTATGATGCCTTCATTACTCCAAACACAATTACCCGGTGCAGATTCCTGTGAAATCGGGCATGGACAGATTGCAGATGCCACGGGCCACAGCCCAGGTGGGTTTTGCTGTTCTCCTCTCCATTTCTGAATGTGCCACCTCCAGGGGTGCTTCACCACGTGGATTCTGGGGAATTGCTGATGCTGATCATGTGGGGGAGACTGGGGGAGAAATGTTTGTGGGAGCCTTGCTGGGCCTTGGCCACGTTGGTCAAAATTGGCTCCATCTCACAAAGTGAGAAGGACACAGAGGTGCAAGGGACCTGTGGCCATTTGGCCACTGAGGTGGTGGTGGCTGATGCCACCCCAAACAGGCAAGACCTGGGACAAACTGCTCAGGGGCAATTCCCAAGTGCAGGTCAAGGAAAATCACCCCCTGTGCCCTGAGAGGGAGGGATGGTCCCAGCTGGATCCCATTGTCCTGCTCCTCGCTGGGCGGGGTCCCGCTGGCAGCCCCCAGGTGTGCCCTGTCTGGGCTGGGCTGGGCTGCTGGGAGTGCTGGTATAAAAGGGTCCTGGGCAGCACCTCCTCCATGAGCTGGTTTTTCTGGGGTCAAGATGGGGCCTGCAGGCAGCCTGGGTGTTGCTCTGTTCTGCTGGGTGCTGGCTGAAGCAGCATCCTACAGCCCCTGGGGGTTCCCTCAGAGGGACTCGGGGGTCCTGAGGGTCTGGGGTGACTCCTCCTGGAGCCGGCCCCGTGTGCCTTCCTTCTCTCAGCCCTGGGCATGGGTGGACGTGTCCCAGCTCCAGGCCATGGCCCCGCTGCACCCCGTGGCCGTGCAGTGCCAGGAGGCACAGCTGGTGGTCACAGTGCACAGGGACCTCTTTGGCACCGGGCGCCTGGTCAGGGCTGCGGATCTGAGCCTGGGATCAGCCTCCTGCCTGCCCCTGCCCCAGAATCCTGCTGAGAGCACTGTGACTTTTGTGGCTGGGCTGCATGAGTGTGGCAGTACCCTGCAGGTGAGGGGGGGTGCTGGGGTGAGGGGCTGCTGAGTAGGGATGGACCTTCTCTGGGCTCTGACCAGCACTGGGTGGGTAAGTGGGAAGTGCTGTGGAGAGCAATGTGCTGCCTGATTCACCCCTGAGAAGCTCTTGGTCCTGGAAGTGGCCTGGTAAAGGGTTTGGGGTGAAGAGAGGCTGATTTGGTTGCAGCAGTGAGGGGTGGTGTGGCCATGGCAAAGGTAGTTTTTGGAGTATGGGTGCCATCCTCAAGCCCACACCCAACAGCAAGAGAGACTTGTAGTGTTTGTGACTTGGACTCAACTGGATGCATGAACACATGGGAGAGTGGGTGCTTGGAGTTCTGAAGTCCTCGAGGCTCCTTGACCTCCTTCAAGGCTGGCCCCTTGTTGGAATGCCAATACAAAGCCTCATGGTGTCCTATAGGCACTGAATTTGGGGATGTGGAGCACAGTCTGTGCCTTTACAGCTGTGGCCTGTGTGTTCTGGCAGTCGGTGCTGGGTCTGTGGTGGTGCTGAGCTTATGGAAAATAGTTTGTTTTCCTGTCTTCTCATCTCTCTCAAATCTTCCTTCCAGATGACCCCAGACTCCCTGATCTACAAAACAAGCTTGTCCTACAAACCTACTCCTTCTGGCAACCTGGTCATTGTAAGGACCAACCCGGTGGTGGTTCCTATTGAGTGTCACTATCCCAGGTGAGTGTGGGGGCTGTGCCTCTACTCCCATGGACCTCAGGTGATGGTGGCATGGCTGTTAATGCAGATCTCCCCTGTTCAGGAGGAGCAATGTGAGCAGCAGTGCTGTCCGGCCCACGTGGGTTCCCTTCCGCTCCACGCTGTCGGCTGAGGAGAGGCTGATGTTCTCCCTGCGCCTCATGGATGGTGGGTGCAGACCTGGCAGCCCCATTTCCTCGTCCTCTCTGCTCTTGCTCACATGCCGAGCCCAGACAGGGCTATAATCTGGGCTGAAGTGAAGCCCACACTGCTGCACAGTTGAGAAGTCCCTGTGCTGGGGAGGGCAACGTGCTGCTCTCCTGAGTGACCCGTGCCCTTGGATCTCCCTTCCAGATGACTGGAGCACAGAGAGGCTCTCCAATGGCTTCCAGCTGGGGGAGAGCCTGCACCTCCAGGCTGACGTGGCTTCTGAGGGCCATGTCCCTCTGAGGCTCTTCGTGGACGACTGTGTTGCCACTCTGAGCCCCGACAGGAATTCCTCCCCCCGATACGCCTTCATTGACCTCAGCGGGTAAGGGGGGCCGTGTTCAGGGTGGTACTGCTGAGCTGGCTGGCGTGTCCCTGACTCCTGACCCTTGCCCAGGTGCTTGGTGGATGGGAGAGCAGATGACACCACTTCAGCCTTCATCTCCCCAAGGCCGAGGCAGGAAACGCTGCAGTTTGTGGTCGATGTGTTCAAGTTTGCAGGAGATGACAGGAACCTGGTGAGATGTTGTGCCAACCCCTCCTCCCTGGGGTGTTTCAGATGTGCTGCTCTGTTTGTATAAAAAAAAAAATAATAAAAAATCAGCATCCAAGGCTAACTAGTTTTATTTTCCCTTCCAGATCTACATCACTTGCCATCTGAGGGTCTCCCCAGCTGACCAAGCCCCAGATCCATGGAACAAAGCCTGTTCCTTCAACAAAGCCAGCAGCCTGTGAGTAGCTGGTGCTTGTAGGGAGGGAACCAGCCTGGAGGAGAGGCTTTACAGATAATTCTGTTTCAGTTGGGCACCTGTGGAGGGTACTGGAGACATCTGCAGCTGCTGTGAGACCGGCAACTGCCAGTTGCATGGAGGATACTCCCGGAGAACCAACCCTCCTGCCAGATGGCCGGGGAGGCGCTTGAGGAGAGATGTCCCTTCTGAGCAAGGTAGGGCTGTGTCTAAAATGTGCCCCCGGGGCTGGGTGACCCTCTAGGCTGGGACAGCCAACATGCTGTAACATCTTTAGTTCCAGGACAAACCCAGCTCTTCTCCAGAGTCCTTCAGTAAGTACTTTCATACTGAAAGAGGGAGAATTTGGGTTGGATACAGGGAAGCTGTTGGCTGGGAGGGTGGTGAGACCCTGGCACAGGCTGGCCAGAGAAGCTGTGGCTGCTCCATCCCTGGAAGCGTTGGAGACCAGGTTGGACGGAGCTTGGAGCAACCTGGGATAGTGGAAGGTGTCCCTGCCTGTGGTGGGGGGGAAATGAGGTGGTCTTAAAGGTCCCTTCCAACCCAGGCCACTCTGGGATTGTATGACTTTATTCTAAGTAACTGCATCTGTGTCCTTATGTTTAAAAGGAAAACTGCTCTTGCAGGGTCCATCCTTCTGTTGCTCCTAAAATCCAGAGTGAGCACAAATTACCTCCCCTGTGAACTTGCTTGTTTGGTTTTTTTTAGGTGGTCCCTCAAGGGTGACAGAAGCTGAAGTCTCAGTTGGGCCACTGTTAATCCTTGACTCAGCTCAAGGATTATGGAGTTCCTCTGGAGGTTTTGGACCAGCAGGGAAGACCCCACAGGGTATGTGTGTGGGGTTTTTTGTTTGATTGTCAGTCAGGTCTCAACTGAAGGTGACTCCAGGTTCTAGTCATGAATCCCCCATGATTTCACACCTGGAGAGACTTTCTAGTATAACCACCAAGAGACAGTCTGGGGAACTCCTTCCCAGAGCTGCCAGCAAGTTCATCCACTGGCAGATGATGGGAAGCCATTTGATGTGTAGTAAGTGTCTCTTGTCTCCCCCAGGTGCTGCTGGAGGACTTCCTGTGGTGGTCCAAGTTGCTGTGCTCACGGCAGCCACTCTGCTGAGCCTCACAGCTCTGGGACTGTTTCTCGTGTGCAGGAAATGTCCCTGCCCTCCTGGGATGTCATTGTAACCTCCATCCCTAATAAAAGGAAACATTTCTGCCCTCTCCTTGTGTGAAACATTTCTGTCCCTCCTCAGTGGAAAGAGGGGGATGCCAGGCAGCCTTTGGTGTGCTTGGATGTGACTCTGCAAACGTGGAGGCTCCCTGGATGTTGTGTCCTTGGCAAAGAAACCTGAACACTGGCTGCAAACAAGGTATGGCTCCTGTTTTCAGGTGGATGAGGGAAGAACTGATGGTGCTTAGAGGTGCTGAATGGTTTCCTGACTCCAGAAGTCCTATTTGCTCCTCCTTAGCAGGGATGTTGCTGGAGGGTGTGAGAACAGGCTTGTTGGTGTGAGTTAGTGCCTCCTCATCCAGGCTGCAACCTCTCCCGAAGGACACAGTGGCAGTTCTAACTCTGGGCTGAGTATGGCTTCTGCTGCTGGGAGAACTGGGAAAAAAACTGGTGTTGGGGATGGGAAAAGGCTCAAGGTGCTTCTGTTTAGTGTGGCCTCAGCTGTAGGGAGAGCAGAGAGCAGTGGCTGGATGGGAAGGTGGAAATGGGGACACTATAAGAAAAAAGGGACAGATAGGGAAAGCTACTGGTCCACCAGCTCTAAATTGTTCTATATTTTTTTAAATATAAAGGAGGGGAAGCCCTCAGCTGGTAGATTTGTCTGGATTATCATCACCTCTCCTTGTAGCACCCTTGGGGACTCTTCCTGCTGTGCTAGTGGAGCTGAGCTATAGGGCACGGGAGTCCTCATTGCACTGAAATTGAGGCAACATGCCCCAGACAGGCCTTAAAACTGTGTTAAAGTGCTCTGTGCTCTTTGGCTTCCCCTCCCAAACAGCACAGGCTTGTCCCAAAATCTTGGCTTAGGCCACTGAAAGCATCTTCTCTGTGGTGGAGTTCAAGCTGGGTGTGAGCTCTTGGTGTCTCAGCTCCTGATGTGGTGAGTCAAATGCCACCTGCACTCCTCAAAGCTTGAGGAACACGGATATTTCTCAACTGTTTGTGTCCCTGTATCCAGTTCCAGCCAAAGGCTGCAGGAGTTTGTTATCCCACGGCTGGAGGACTGTGTGCTTTGAGGTGCTGCCTGGTTTAAAGATCAGGAATCTGCACTGGGGCAATTAATGCCCTTGTTTATGTGGTGTGGGACCCTGTGCTCTGCGGGGAGCACAGTGAGGGTATTGGGCATCTTGAGGCACAAATTTGCCTTGATATGGGGGCTGATGGCCCTTCCAGGGAGGATCCCCAAACCTGTTGACTCCCCTCCATCCTTCTGGTCTGATTGACCACCTGGCTTGTTCTCACTTTCCATATCCTGGGAGAATCCAAGCACCTGATGCTTGTAACAGCCAGTTCTGAGCTGAGGAAACAGCTCCTGGCCCTGGATAAGGAACAAAAAGAGCAAGATTGATTCAGATGTTTGCTCCTTTGCTTATGCCTTCTGAAGGCTGCTGCTGCCAAAGGCATTCCCTAAATTGGGTGGCTGAAGGCTGGAAGCAGCTCTCCTGCCTTTGGGCTGGAATTCCCCAGCCATTAGGCTGAACTCTGGTGATGCTCAGTCTCCCTACAGCGTATTCCAAGAAACCCTGAGGGCAGCCACAGCTCTGCAAAGGAGCCTCCCCAGTGCTGGGAAAGCAGCTTGGTGCCTGTGCTCCATAGGCTTGGGAGGGTGGGGAGCAGGGACTGCCTCCCCAGACAAGCTGGGACTGAAAGCCCAGGGATGATGTGCCTCAGGCAAATGTTTCCTGGTTCTGTTTTCATTGAATTAAGCAGCTGAGCTGAAATAATCAACTGGAAAAGTGAGGCAGCTATGTAAGGTTTTTTCTTTGGCTGGAATCTTCCCTGATCAGGCTCTCAGCCTTCATGTTTTATGCACAAGCTCCTTCCTGGAGGAGCTACAGAAGATTAAAACCTCCTTTTTTTTCTTAATTTTTACCTTGACAGGATGACATGTGCTGAGTGTGTGGCCAGGCTGTGATGTTGCCCTGCCAAAAGGGTGGTGGTGCTCTTCCCAAGGGCATGGAGGCACAGCTGTGTCCTTGGAGTGGGAAATGGGGAAGAAATCTGGCAGGGTAGGGGAAGTTATGGCATGGAAATCCTCTTTTGAGGCCCATCTCAAGCAGGAAGAACTTGTCCTTCCCTTCTGCCAACCCTCATTCTACCCCTGAGAAGAAGCTCCCTGATGACTTGGGGATCCAATTCCTGCCCCAAATATCTTCTGGAGCTCACCCTGCTCCTTCAGCTGCACTTTGATCCCAGCTCAGGGCCTTCAGCCATGCTTTCCTGCCACAGGTGTCCCTGATCAGCAGCTCCCAGAGTCCTGTGAACACGTGGGAAGCTCATTTAAAAATAAAGAAATATTCCCTTTACTGGAAAAAAAAAAAAAGGCAGGAAAAATAACTTCTGGTGTTATTAAAACTTCTGTGTTTTCTCTTTAAAGCTCTGGCATTTAAGAGAAGGGACCTGTGAGAGAGGTTTTTTCCATTGTTGATGTCATTTTGTAAGCTGTTTATTGTAAATAATTTCTGTTTTCCCCGTGAATACCCGGTGAAGAAGCCAAAAAGGAAAATTTCTGGTATCTCTCATGAGTATTTATTCCCATCTGAGAGACAAATGTGTTTCCCCAAGGAACTGAACTTAATTCACTTCTGCTTTTGCTGCCAGAAAAAAAAAAATGTGCTGCAGTGTAAATGGAGATGAAGGAGCAAAATCCATTTGAAAACACCGCCGGTAAATTGAAGGTTTGCCGTATTTGCCGAGGTAATTTAGAGCAATTCCCCGCTAACGAATTAATGCACCACTTCTTGTTCATTATGGTTTTCCTAATTTAATTGGAGCTCTAAGTGTGAACTTCATTACCAGCAAATATTAATGTAATAAAGCAGGTTTTGGTGGAGTCCATCATTCCCAGCCAGCTTGGTACTCGGGGGCCGTGCTGGAGAAGGGCTGGGAGGAGGAAGAGGAAGGGCAGGGATGCTGCTTTAAGGGTGCCACATCCAGGGGCCAGGGCGTTGCCCAATCCTTGGCAGAATAAAGTCCATTTTCCTGCAGCCTTGCAGGGAAGAAACCCACTAAATCCCTAATCCACCTCATGGACGGACTGAGGGAGCAACTCCATCCCACCACAGCCCCGGACTGGCTTTTTAATAACCCTGTTGTAGGAAAAGTAAAGAAGAGGAAAGCAGAGCACGGGTGACATGAGTTTCTGCAGGCTGGGGCCCAGGAGGGACAGGGCCACTCTGCTCAGTCGTGTTCTTGGATGCAAATGGTTCCATGCATAATTCAAACTCCGTGTTGCTCATCCTGAGTAATCCCTGCTCCGGCTAAGAGGGATGGGGAGGGAGAGACTTCTATTTTCGAGCCTTTATTGTTGTTGTTTTCTCCCCAAAGTGTTTCCTAAGTGCTGGGTAAACAGATTTTCCTATGCTGCATCAGGTACCTGCTGGAGCACCAAGAGCTGGGCATTGTCCAGCATCCCAGAGGGCACCATGGATGTTATCCCAGTAGTGAACGTGGATGTCCCAGAGGTGACCATGGGTGTCAGATATTGGAGGATGTCCCAGAGGTGACCATGGATGTTGGACGGTGCCCCAGAGGTGACCTGTAGCTGATATCCCAGTAGTGACTGTGGATGTTGTCCCAGAGGTGACCACAGATGATATCCTGGAGCTGAACCACATCCCATGGACCAGCCAGTGGGGGGATAATTTTATAATCCGTTGTTTGAGTGTGTAGGTGCTGGCTGTGAAAAGACCTGTTTTAGCACAAAGCTGAGCTGGGGGGGTGTTCCCACGACTCCAGGTATGAGGTTATGAGGTCCTAAACCCCATCCTGACACCTCCTGGGACTCTGGGCTCAGCTCTCCATGACTATGTTGGGTCCCACCTGGCTCAGGTGGCCCTGAGGACACAGCTCTGCTCTCTCCAAGACCAGGGCCCCCCCAAACCCAGCCCTGTTGCTCCTTATTATGGGCTGGCACTGACGCCTTTGATTTTTCTTGGTTTGGTGTTGGTTTGTCTTTTTTTTTCTCCTTTCTAAGAGCCCCAGCGTTTTAATTATTTATTTGGAGCGTGATTAATGTTTTGTCTGACGCTGTTCTGCCAGGGGAGCCCCGGTACATTTTGGTTTAGCGAGATCTAATTAAGAAGTCCCATCAAGCATGTCATCCCTTGTCTTACAAGTACCTCCAGGGCTACTCCGTGTTCCGGCAGGCTCAGCTGGATCCGATGGCTCCAGGGGGCCTGCAGCTCTTCCAGAGGGGGCTTTACCCCAAAAACTGGGGGTGCTCCAACCAAGCATTCTCCTGGCATCACGGCAAGACCCAGATTGCTGCTGCCTCCAGGGTATGGAGGTAAAAAAGCATTTTTGGTCTCAAATTTGCCCTTTCTGGCTGTATTTTGAGGGAATGCTCCTCCTGAGAGCACCAGGCTGGAGCTGCCCTGTCCCTATCAGGGATGAACAGTGGGGTGATGTGACACGGGGCCACCAAGGCACGGCTCTGAAGGGATGGTGAGGAGGAGGCAGTCCCTGCGTGGGCCACTCATGAACATGTGTGTCCATGTGTTCCCACTGCCACCCAGTGGTGGGAGAGCACCCAGCCACCACCCGGAGAAGTGCATTTTATAGGGTGAGATAACAGAATGGATAAATATCCATTTATGAGTGTAGCAAGGGCTGTATCCGGGTACCGGAGGGTTGAACTTCAGGAGCAGTGGCCACTGGAGAAGCAGGTTTTGCAGGGCTGGAGGTGGTGGTGGAGCTGCCAGCTCTGCTCAGGAGGTCACTTGGAGCCCCTCACCCCCGACTTTGGCCTCCCACCACCCTGGGGACCTTAAATGGCCCTGGCAACATCCCCAAGGATCCACACCTTACCTGTGACCTGAGGAGCCCATATAAGCTCAGCCTGGGGCTGTTCAGCAGGATGCTGCTCTCCAGCCATCCCCACTGACCACAGCCTTATTCCCACCTTATTTCCTGATGCTCTGGGCTCCCTGTTGCCATCACAGCCTCCTCTTTCTCCCTTGCTGGGGCGGGATGAGGTCTCCTGCCCCATGCTGGGTATCCAGCCCAGCTGTCCACCCCCTGCTAGAGCAGGAATTTTCCTTCAGGTGTCTGGCCAACACCACTCCACCCTTGGCTTATCAGCCCTGGAGAAGGTTGGAATCCACTGCTCCATCCATGGGAATCCACGGAGAGACCGGCAGCCTCCTGCGGCGCAGAGGCCTCCAGCAAGCTGTGAAATTACAGGCTGGCAAGTGCCAGCACAAACGAGGATTAATTAGTGTGCCATGGCCACGAGCACCCGCTTCAGGCCCTTGTCTGGCCAGGCTCAGCTTATCCATCTCCATCCCGCCTGGCTGGCAGAGCCTGGAGAGGAGCGCGAGTAGGGGAGCTGCTCCGCCTGGGATTTCGGTGCCAAATGGCACTGGGGTGAACTCAAAATCCACAAACATCCTTGACCATGGCTTGGAGGGTGCCCCTGACCCCCCCTTACTCCTCCAAGGCTGCCCTGGGCTGGGGGTGAGGCAGGATGAAGGGATGCAGGATGCTGGGGTGACACCCCGGGGAGGAGTGCTGGGCACATTTTGGGGTGCTGTGAGCAGCGTGGGTGCACTCTGCTCCTGCCTCCTCCACAGCCAGCCTTTCCTTGAGAGGAGATAACAGCTGCCAGTGTGTTATCTGGCTCTGGGGCTGGAGACAAGCAGAAGGAGGGAGGATGTGAGTAAAATCCAACTGGGAAGATGCAGCTGAGCTGCCCTGGTCTACGGGGAGGGCAGCTTTGTGGGAGGATGCTCCTTTTCTCCCCAGGGAGCTGATCAACCTGGCCTGAAGGGTGGCGATGAAGAGGGAAGAGCCTTCACAGTCCACTCCCAAGGCATAAGATGGATTTAGCTCCCAAAAGCTGGAAAAGCGAGGATGAAGGAGCGCTCCTGTTAAAGCAGCATCCTAAGATGTGGTAATTCAGCTGTGGAACAGCCAGGAACAAACAAGACAAGATGCTGTACAGCAGCAGAGGCAGGAGTATCACCTCTCCCTTTGGAAATAAAACATTCCTCTTCCAGCTACAACCAGAGCTCAGCTCCAAGCTGTGCAGGGAAGGGGCAGCTAAAATCCAGGGATGCTTTTAGCTGCTGCTGAGCTCCAAGGGCTGGCTGTAGCCTGGTTAGTGTGAAATAAAGCCCATCTCTGCCGGGGGAGAGGTTATCTCAGTCCCCTGAGAGCAGATCATCGTGGAATTGAGGAAAAAAGACGCGTCTGTGTATGGGGTCAGCTTGGGTTTTGGCTTCCCAGGGCTGAGGGTGGCAACCCATGGGTGCAGTTGGGGTCCTGGGTGCATCCCATCCCCTCCCAAAGCCTGACCCTGAGCCAGAGCTCTTCCTCAGGCCAGAAAACATCCTGCTATCCACTTTGATAGCTGCCTTTCATGTCAGCAAGCTCAGAAGTGAAGTCTCCAGGCACTCGAGGTCTATTTTGAGCCCTCGCCCAAGCGAGATTTGTGAGACGGCTTCTTCTGTGGGAGCAACTTTCCAGCTCTATCTCGGGAGCTGGAGGGGTTGGGTGAGCTCAGAGGAGTTCCTTCAAAACACAACCCCCAGTGGAGCCCCTCGTAATTCAGGTCAACTTGAACAGGAGCTGTGGGGAGGGTCAGAGCTGGCTGCCAAGCTGGAATTCTGCTTAAAGCCCATCAAAGGCTGGCTCTGGCCAGAACAGACACCGAGCATCCTTCCCAGCCAAAAACCAGCAGGATGCATGGCAGAGGGATCTGCTGGCGTGGATCACTGGCCAGACTGTGTCCTCATTTGCTGATGGTTCCTTATTGCTTCCTGAAGGAGCCCTTTGCCCCTTCCTTTGAGCTCTGGTTGCTGTTCTGGGTGTTCCCAAACAGGTTTTGGGGTTGGGGGTGGAGGGCAGGGACATTGCTGGGATGCTGTGGGGAACAGGCTCATTGATGCATTAATATATAGTGTTAAGGGAAAGAGTAGGTGTTTTCCCAGTCCAATTCCACTCCATCCCCATCACTTGCAGCCACAGACCAAGCCCGACGAGCTCGATCTTGTCCCTGCAAGAACCAAGTCTGTTAATTCAACATCATTAATAATTAAGTTGGTGGTGCAGTGAATAACATAATTAATAACTTCGTTACTGGTCTAACAAAGCCATTTTTACTACTTTGCCTGTTTTCTCCTTATCTGTGTTAATAACCATTCCCACCATGTTGAGTTTTTCCCTAAAGAACCCCAAACCAGCAGTTTTTCCTGCTAAATAACGACAGCCAAACCCCTCTGGGTGTGCAGAGAAGCAGCAAAGACATTGCCTGTGGTCACCTCTATGCCAGTGAGGGTTTTATTACCCGCACTCCAAGCAAAGGGGAGCGGATGGATTTCCCCCTCTCCGTTTACCCCAGTTTTATGGAAGTTTTCCATCCATGCACCTGAAGGTTAATACAGCACTTACAGCTGATGTCACTTGGATTTATCAGAGAGCAAGAAATAAAGCTGGTACAGCTATAAATTCGTTCCTAATAAAAGCACGGAGGATGGAGCTGTTCCCCTTGTCCACATGGCCCCAGCTGCATCCATTGGTTTTACATCCTTGGCTCCAAGGTGAGTGGTCCCCAGGCCGTGCCTCAGTCCCCCCTTTGGCAGCTCCTTCCAGAGCTGCGGGTGATGCAGGTGCTCCCAAATCCGGAGCAGCTGAAAAGCATCTCCTTGTGCAGCTCCAGCTGCTCCAGATTTTTTCCTTTTGCTCTTCCTGACACCCTTTGGGAGGAGTTATTGAACAACAAAGCTACGTGTGCTAATTGTAGTTTTACAGAGGGTCAGGCCGTAAAAAGCTCTTAAAAATAAATGAGTAACCAGCTGTTGACATGCAGAGGGATGGAGGGAGTTGTCCCATCCCATGTGTCCCTGGGATGGTGTTGCCACTCTTTGGATGGGGGATGGAGACATCCTGTCCTTTGTTATGAAAAAACAGAGGCTGATGCTCCCCATGGTATCCCAGCCCATGGATTAGGGAGAGATGTCCATAGTCCCATCTACAGGGCTCTTCTTCCCTTTCCCGGTTTTGCCCAGGGTTGGGATGCCCCCATGGGGGAGCTGGATGGATGCTCCCATGTGGTGGGAACACACACTGATCCCCCAGGCAATGCCATGTCCCTAAAAACTAAAACATAAATGCAATTCAACATAATTTGGGCGAAAACCTCTTCTCCTGCTACAATCTGGGTCGAATTCAGAGTGTTGTGGTCACCACTGCTTCCCCTGTGATGGGTGTTCCACACATCCCTCGCCCTGGCAGCAGCACTGGGTGCCAGCGAGGGTCCTGGCTCTGGGATGACACTTGGGAAAGGCTTGAACTGGAGCATCTCTGACCTGGATTAAAAATAAGGAATTGAGGTGGTGGTTTTTTGCTGCCAGGCTTGGAAAAACCATGTCATGCCAGGGACGCTCGAGGGCTGGCAGTGCAAATGCATTCCTGCAGGAGCAAGAGTCAACGGAGAGGGCACGGGGGCTTTGTCCCCAGGACCAGGTGCTTTGGGTGCTGAAGGCTTTGGCAGAACCTGGAAGCTGAAAGAAAGATGCCAGGGGTAGATCTGGAGCACCAGATTCCTTCATCTGTCAGGGAAAATCCCAGCTATTTCTCCCCCCGCAAACCAGGGCTTTTGAAATGGAAAACCAGAATTAGGTACATAAAGAAAAGCTGGAGACACTTTCCACATCATTTTAAGATGGTTGCAAGGCTTGGAGGTCGCTAATATTTCCCCTGGACCTGGTGTAAAGGTTTGGAAATCAGAAGGGGAGCAGTCCCCTAGCCCAGCTCCTCATCACTGGTGTGTTCTTGCCCTCTGCAATCCCCTCACAATCCCCCTTGGAGGTGGGAGTGACATCCTGGTGACACCCCCCAGTCCACTCAGACACTGGATGTGACAAATCAGGTCACACCGGCTCTTCTTAAGCCAAACAGGGATAGAATGTCCCAGGGAGGGCAAATGTCCCATCCCTGGTCCAGCCACCCCCCTCCAGTACCCCCATGTCCCCATCCACCCCCATCCACAACCTCGGATACACTGGCTCTCCCCTTCGTAGAACCTTCCCTCCCTTGGCACATATATACATATATTATATATATATGTTATGGTTGTTATTTCTCCATGATGGACGGTTTATTGATCTGAAACTTCTGTTCAAAAAAAAAAAAAAAACAACCAAAAAAAACCAAAAAAAAAACAAACAAAAAAACAAACAAAAAAAAACAATTTAAAATTCCCTGAGCCTGGAAAATGACGGGTAGGTAGTTGGGACATTGGGACATTCATCTTCTTTGCCACCTTTTCATGTCGATTTTATTATTAGTATTGATTTATTTAAATATATATTTATATATATATATATATATATATATATATTTTTCTGTCCCTTCCCAGGAGTCGTCCCCCCCCTCCGCCCCCCCATCCACCCACCCTCCCCAAATCCGTGCGGCGGATCCGGCGCGTCAGTGGTTGTTTTTAATCCTATGCTGGGCCGGGATATAAGGCAGCACCGTCTGGGTGCTTTTGTCGGCCACGGTCTGGGTGCTGCTGGTCCTCATCAGCCGCCGGCCCGGGGCCGCGCCGCCGCCGGCTTTCGAGTGCTTCGAGGGCCCGCCCGGCACCTTCCTGGCGGGCTCCTCGGGCCCCTCGTCCCCCGGGGACTAGACCACGTTCTGTGCGGAGGCTTCCCGGGCATCGGCGCAGCACAGGGGCGGGCTTTTTAAAGGCCACGCTTGTCGCTTAATGCGGGGACCCGGCTCACCAGCGTGCCGGCGCGGGGCGGAGGCTGCGGCAGCTTCAGGGGAGGCTGATGGTCGTGCCGAAGGCTATCCCTTCCTGCCTGGTTCCTCGCTGGACGAATCCGGGGTGCCCCCGCCCCGGGGGCCGTTGGGGATGGGCAGCCCCCCGTTCATCAGCCGGTAGTCGGGCTGGCGAGCGGGCGGGGGCTGCGGCTGCGGCCGGGGGGGCTCGGGGCCGTCGCCCGGGTCGGAGGGGGTGGAAGCATCCAGGAAGGAGCAGAATTCCCAGCTGTCGGAGAGGATGTCGGAGGCGGCGAAATCGAGGGGTCCCAGCTCGAAGGTGCCTCCGCCCTTGTCGCTGCTGGACGTGCTGCTGGCCGTCGCCGTCGTCCAGTCGTCCGGCTCCAGGTCGAACTCGAAGTCGGACGTCAGGCGGTCGATCTGGCTCACCACCTGCGGGCAGACGGACGGACGCACGGACAGAGAGGAGCTGCTGGGAGGGACCCTCCCGTTTCTGCTCCGTAATTACACCACACCCCTAAGTCTCTGCTGTTTGCCCTGGCACCACCGGTGTGATGAGCTGGGAGGTCTCAGCTCAAATGGAGCCTCCTGGCAGGGACCGAAGCCCACCCGGTGGCAAAGCACCCAAACCCCCAAGCCTTGGGTGCCCCTGAGCGCTCGGTGTGACAGGATGGGCCTTCCCCAGGGTCTGCCCTGTCCCCTGGGATGACTCCCACCCCAAATCCTCGGGCACGTGGTGTCCTTTGGTCCCTCTCACTAGACCACAAGGAGCCACCAGTGACCATCACTTCCTCCCTCTGGAGAAGGCAGCTCTGTGAGTGGGGAAGCCAAGGCAGGCGGTGGATGATGGTCCAAGGTCCTGGATCGATCCCAATCCTCCATTTCTTTCACAGTGTTGAGTATATCGAGCCCTGTGGTGGCTTGGGGATGGGGTCACGGCCCCACCATGCCACTGGGGACAGATCCCGTGTGAGGCGTGACTAAATCAAGCCTTAAAATATTAAAAATAATAGATGCAAAGTCCTAAGGGAGGTTCAAGCCATGGGCAGGGCTGGAAGGGGAAAGAAGAGAGGAATGACCTCCTTCCTCCTACAGCTCCCACAGATCATGGTCTCCACCTAACGACCTTGCCAAGGTTTTGGATGCAACAGATTCATCGCCCACCTTCAAGTCTTTAATCCTGCCCAACTCAGGGGCTGCCCAGCACTGACCACAGCACTTATCCTGCCCAGGAGACCCCAGTCCCACCTGGCATCCAGATGGAACCGTGTCTATCCACGGTATTTCTTGGCTGGTGTCTCTGCGTGTGTGTGTGGGCGTGTGGGGCTCTGTTTCATGGGGGAGGCAGAGCACGACGTGGAAATCCAACTCCGTGGCACTGGGAGGTGTGTATTTTTGGCAGTTTTGCTGGCTCGCCTCCCCCCTCTCTGGGGGAGCTGGCAGAGGGCCTGGCTGGTCCCTGTGCTGCCAAGCAGGAGGTGGGCAGTGGCAGACAAGGGGGGCCAGGGGGAACCCCTCCGTACTCCTGGTACCTGTTTGTGACCCATGTGATGCAATCTGTGCTACTCCCATCCCCAGCTTGGGCTGGTGAGGGCATCATGGGCATCGGTGCCCCCTGCACCCCAGGGCTGTGTCCCTTCTGGATGCCCATCCCACTCACAGAGCATCTGGAAGCACAAATTTGCTCGACTTCTTCCAGGTGGTTTCTTCACACAGTAATGTTGTTTTTCATTACTGCTGTTCCCTCCCCATCTTTTTCCTTCCACTGCCCTTCCACCTGCCCTTCCACCTGTCCTTTCCTGGTGGAAACCAGCCACAAATCTCCCAAAATAAGGGAAGGAAGGTAAATCAATGGGCAGTGTCTTGCCAGACACCTTTCCTTTCCTTCTCCTCACGCCACCAAAAAGCCCTGACTTATCTCCACCAGTCCCACAGTTCATCACTGGGGGTTGGAGCCTCCCATCCACCAAGATTAATTAATCATGGCACATCTCTCCATCATTTTTATGCTGCTGTATCCCGTAACTCCATGTTCTTTGAGCATTTTTGCTGTGAGGAACTGAGTCCTTGGGCTCAGACACCCCATCCCATCTGAGGGCGGGCACCCCAAACCTGCTGTCACGGGGCCAGGTTGCCCTTGGTCTCTGCATCCCTCTGCCAGATGCCGACGTGCAGAGGTTTGGGACAGCTCCATAAATCCCTGGAAATGCACCATAAAGCATGGCTCAGCAGGGCAGGCTCCTCACAGAGCCCCCGTGGTGGGTGAGGATGCGTGGGCAGAGTTAAGGGTAATTTAATATGTCTGGGCAACTGAAACAGGGAGCCCGGGGGGACGATTACTCTGCCAGCAGCCGGAGTGGCTCCGTTACATTCTGCTGACCTAATTTTAATCAAATTCCCATATTTGAGCTCCAAATTTCGCTCGTTCCACAGCCCTGCCCATGCAGCTCTCCTGCTCTGCCCAGCTCCCGAGGATTTGGCACCAAAGATGGGGAACTCGAGCCCCCCATGTGCATCCAGGCGTGGACACGCAGCATCCCCTCTTGTGAATCAGCCACCGGCCCCCACGGGACAGCTTCAGGCTCTGGCCGCAGGTAGGACCATTTCTGGGGACACCTGAGGCTCTGTGACAACCCAGAGAGGAGCATCTCTGGAGGACAAAGTGATGCCACCTCCACGGGGGCACAACCCCGAGGGGCACAGGGTGGGTTTGGGTGAGGGTGGTGGGGCTGGATGTGTGTGTGTGTGTGTGTGTGTTTGCTGCCTGGTGTGAACACGGGGCTGGGAAAATGAGGAGACCTGGGAATGGGGAGACCCTTTCTGGGGTGGGACGAGCTGATGTGAGCAGGAGAAGGGAGACTGAATGGCTGGGGTTGCTGCCTGGGAGTGGGTTGGCCACGCTGGAGATAAAAGATGCCAAAAAACATCTTTCCATGGAAAAGGGGGTGGTTAGGAAATGGGAGGAGGGGGTGGGAGAGAGTAGTGCACCCACCATCAGACCTGAGCATGTGGTCTAATATGCTGCAGATGGGCACTGATACACCTTAACAACCCTGATCAGCCCCTCCTGGGACCCATATAAGACCAGTTTGGGGATAAAACCTCTTTTCTGAGCTGTGCTGGAGTAGAACCTGTCCCCAGCCCCACGTGGTGGCCCCACAGCTGGGTTCTCTCCTGGATGGACCTCCTGAAGCCCATTCCATGTCCTGCTTGTGGGATGCACCTTGAATCTACATCATGTCCCTGTATCCTAGAGGGACTTTGTGTCCCCAAAGGATGGCAGAGCTGGGGACACTGAGCTGAGTGCTCATCCCAAGGTGCAGAAGGCAACAGGCTTTACCTAAGCTCCTCATCTGTGATCTCCAGCTTATTTTTCCAGCCATGGAAGACCTCTAGAGAGGGCAGGCAGGGACCCACCCATCCTTCAGGCTTTGGCTTTGAAGGGTGCTGAGATGCTGGGAGCATCCACAACGAAGTCTTGACATTAGAAAAGGTGATTTTTCTTGTTCCTGATGCACCATCAGAAATCTTTTTTTCTTTTTTTTCTTTTTTTTTACTCTTATCTTCAGGGGAGAAAGGGTGGAACTCGAGGAAGGGCGTTAAAAAGAAGATGACGTGACCTCTTCTTTCTTGGTGACAAGAAAGAATTAGGAAAAAGGGCAGGGATAGAGCTGTCTTTGGGAAACACCCGGCTATTATTATTTTTTAATAAGGCAGCAAAATGATTTCTGCTGAAACCCTCAGCTGGAATGAGATCACCTCTGTTTCCACAAAGGCTCGGTGATTACAGCACTGGGTTCAGGGGGAGCGTCTCCCTGGGCTTTGACTCGGGTCCCTGACACCCAGGGCCCTCCTCATCCTCATTAAAGGGACCTGCTGCCATTTGGGATCGGGCGGTGACAGGAGGAGGCACATCCCCATCCCAATCCTTGTGCCCATCCCGCTTCTTGTGGTGGCACACAGGGATTAGTGTCACATCAGCAGTGGCTCACTCGGGGCTATTTTTAGGAGCACTTGCTATTTTAAACGGGGGGGCAGTGGGGTGGGGTGGGGGGGTGTTAAATACCTATGTGACACTTGGTACCCGCTGAGGATTTAAATGTAAAGTAGGATTTGGGCTTTTCTCCCCCCTTTTCTCCTTCCTGAAGCAGGTTGTCAAAGCTTTTCCAGCTGAGGCCATCGCTGCTGGCAGAGGGAGCCAGGATGAGAGAGATGGGGGGGGGAGGGATGACCAGACCTGGGGTGGTTTGGGACAAGGCCCTGGTGATGTTCTCATCCCTCAGAGAACTGGGGTGGGTTTGTTCCCCTACGAGCAGGCTGGGAGGTGTGGGGTGTCCTCAGCACGTGGTGGAAGTGCCATGCGGGTGACAGACAGGACATGTCCCCATCCTCCATCACCTTTAGGTTGCTGCAAAGAGCCACCTTTTTGGTGACAGCAGAGCATCCCTGGTCCAGCTGGGGTATCCGGCAGCAGGAAAACAGGGACCAAAATAATTCCCCCTTGACCTCGTGCGTGGTGTCACCGAGGGGCCTCATCCTGCTGCACCCCAGTGTCCTGAAAGCAGCTGCTGGGGGGCCAAGGGTGCTCAGCTCTCGCCCAAAGGGACGAGCTTTGAGCAGCTGGAGGATGGAGTGAGGCAGAGGGATGAGCCACATCCCTGTGGAACCCCAGAGAGATGGACATGGAGCAAGGATGTGCCAAACCACGTTCATCCCCACCCCAAAAACCAGCTCCCACCATCCCACCCAGCTGGGAGTGCTGGGTGCTCCCCTCCCCTCCCACTGGTCCCCACGCCCATGGACGTTGCAGGCAGCCAGAAGCTTTCCGGATAAAAGCCCTAAATTGGGTGTTCACCTCCCCAGCTAAGGCAGATGTTGAACATCTGGAGCATTGTCGTTGTTTTTAATGGGATTTTGGGCTGTTGGCTGCACATCAAGCACTGAGCTCCCTGGCTGGGAGTTGGGTCTGGTGGCTCCAGCTCCCACGTTTTGGCCCCGCCGTTTCCTATCGAGGAACTAAACCTCCCGGACGCCCGGGAAGACGCAGGAGAGGCGGGAGGATGAGAGGGGACTTCAAAGGCTTCCTGGGCAGTAGTTGGTAACACGAATTCCTGGGGCCGGGGAAGGAGCTGGAAGATGCTGGGATCAAAGTGGTCTAAGAGCCCCTTCATCCCCACACGGCCTTTGAAGAGGAGGGGAGGCGGATCCGTGCTCAGGGCAGGTTCTGGTGGGCGAAGGCGGGGCCGGGGTGGGGAGATCAAACATGGCACTGCTTGGGCTGTCTCTGCTCCAGTGATGGGAGGCCCTGTGTGTGTCCCCTCAGCTGCCCTCCAGCAAGATGCAACAGTTTTCCCAATCCGGAGCCGAACATCCCATCCCCAGCCACGGTGGGAGCAGGGATTTTTGTGTGTCCCCCCATGCTCCCCATTCCCAGCACCTCCAGAAGCACATTTTGGGGTCCAAAGCATTTCCACAGAACCATGGAATGTTTGGGCTGGAAGGAACCTTAAAGCCCATCTCATTCCAACCCCTGTCATGGGCAGGGACACCTTCCACTAGACCAGGTTGCTCCAAGCTCCATCCAACCTGGCCTGGAACACTTCCAGGGATGGATTTTCCGATGGCACGCAGCTGCTTTTCCAGGCTGGATCCGGCCCGTGTGTCCCTGCACTGTGCTTTGCTGCCAGCTGGTGCACAGAGGGGATGAGCAACAGGACCGTGCAGCCCATGCTAAAATTCCCCAACCCTATTCCCAAAGCATCAAATCATCCTGGAGGCATTTGACACCAGCAATTCCTCCCCCCACAGGGGAAAAGAGCCACCCCAAAGCCCCACCACCCCCATATCCAAATGCTCCTGGAGCAGGGACCTTCCCACTTCCCAGTGCAGGCAAGGTGAGTAAATATTTAATAAGGAATGAATGATTAATTGGAACTGGCAAACTGAAGCAGAGTTGCAGGGGCCTCTCTTCCCCGAGCTGATCCTTACAAATGAGCGTGCCGAGGATCCAGGGTTCATTTGCTCCACCATCAGCTGCTAAATAGTTCAAAATCATCCTGCACATCTCCCAAACATGTTGTTATTAGAATAATAAGCCTCCTTCTCGCCATGAACTTCCCCAAGCATTCCCAGCTAATCACCTATTGATTACAACATTATTAAGGTATTTATTATCATAAGGGATTGCAGGGAGGGTTTTCCTCGTGCCAAAGTGTTGGAGGGAACTCCTCCGTGCTGTTCTGGGTGGTGGGACCCCGTTGCTTCCATCAGCAGCTGCAGAAGGGACAGGACTCTCCCCATGGGAATTTTGGGGGGTTTAAACAGATATCTGGGTTTATTTCCCGCCGTGGATGGTTTCCCACCCCCAGCACTAATCCCCCTAGGGTGGGAAGGAGCTCAGCCTTGCCGTGGAGCTTCTTGGGACCTCCTGGGGTATCTTATTCCCTGTGGCATCGCGGTGATCCCCGCGGGAAGAGGCCGGGGCTGGCAGGAGGTGCGTGGGAGGGAGGCAGCATGGCAAGCGCGCGGCGGAAGCGCCTTCCCTGCTGCCTCCTGCCTGATTTCTACTTCCAGTGTGCGTTTTCAATCAAAGATTTTAATAATCATTTTCCCCGCACATAATACAGCCCTGTCTTGGAGTGCTGGGGAATAATTATATACACAAAAGGGAAGGAGGGAGGGAGGGAGAGCGGGAGCGGGGAGGCTGGTGAAACAGCATCCCGAATAAAACGGACATCTGGAATGACAGCCTTCAGGTGGGAACCGCTCCCGGGAGGCGGGGATGGAGCCTGAACCAGTGTCTGGTCACACATCACATCCTCAGGGATGGGCCAGCAGAGTGGGGCTGCCCTGGGGTCTCCCGCTGGAGCCTCCCCCCGGAGCATCCCACAATCCTGGCTGGCTCTGGGACTCAGCGTCTCTGCTGAAGCAGGGACAACCTGAGAGGAAAGGCTCATGTGAGCCAGAGCCAGCTGTGACTGGAGCTGGTGAACAGTTTTGGAGCAGGAACCATCCCTGGGTGGAAGCCCTTGTGCCCACACAGGGTGTTTATGGCTTCGGGGGTTATTTTTGGCGAGGTGGTTATGACCTGGCTGCTGCCTCCGGGTGGGTAAAGTCCTGGCACCCAGCTCCCTGTGCAAGAAAAACCCAGAAGGAGCAGGTCCAGCATCACCCAGTGCTCTCCAGTATCACCCAGTGCAGGTTTTCCAGCGCCGTGGGTGTGTCTGGTGCCCTCACTGGGCACATCCAGCCCTGCAACCCGACCCACCAGTGATGCCCCTACCAGAGGAGGTGGCCACAGGGATGGATATTTCCAAAGCCCCCATGGTGGCTCCGTTGGAGAACACACCAATATCACAAGTGCCAGGACACTGGTGGCCTTTGATGGCCCTGAGCAGCCCCACCTGGGACCCCACCCCTGAGCCCACCTGAGCTCGGGGCCATCAGCCCTGCTTGTCCCCAGGCTTGTCCCTGTGTCCTGGTCCTCACTTCCAGCCAAGGAAGAGCATCCCAATGTGCAAGGAAGACAACAAAAAGGGCTTATTTTTTCACTTCTTTTTCGCCAAAATCTTAGAGATTACGATTTGCCAGCCTGGTGTCTGCCACGTACTTCTCTGTGTGGGCTTGAAAGAGAATTCCATGTAACCTGCTCCCATTGAGCTTGCTCTGAGTGATCCAGAGGGCAGGAAAATGAATTTCCATCCCTGGAAGTGTCCAAGGCCAGGTTGGACGGGGCTTGGAGCAACCTGGTCTAGCGGAAGATGTCCCTGCCCATGACAGGGAAGTGGAACAAGACGGGCTTTAAACCCATCCAACTCAAACCATTCTATGAATTTCCAAAGCCTCTAACACCCAAATTCTGCTTGGTTTGGGGAAAACCAGACCTCTGTTTCTCTGGAGTCGCTGACTCCTGGTTCAACCTGATTGGACTGGTGTGTTTTAGCTCCGAAGCCTGCACTGAGTGTACTGAGAGTTAGGCTGTTTTGTATGAATTTGAATAATTGCTGCAGAGTTTTGTGGGTCTGTTCTAGGAGCTGGGAGAAGGGCTGAAGTTTGGGACCCACCTCATGTCTGGCTCCACGCTGACCTGGCCTCGCTGTCCCTTGATGTGGGGAGCTCTCCCAGAGCACCCATGGGATGCTGCCTGGGAGGTTACCAGTGTCTAGGCATGTGCCAGCTCCATGGAAAAAACATTTCCATGCTTTAACACTTCCTGGCACTCTCTGGAGAAGCCACCTCATGGGGTGTGGACCCCCTCCCTGGCACAGAGCAGGGTGTCCCTGGGGTGGGGACAGAGGATGGGTGTCCTCTAGCTACCTCCTCCTCTTCTCTCCTCTGACACATGCTGGTACCACCTGACTTGGGCAGCCCACCAAGACCCTTCTGGCCCCAAGAGCTGGACAGGGACCTGGTGGAGCCACCCAAAGTTTGGTGGCAAGCACAACCTGGTCTCAGCTGTGAAATGGTTGGAGGTTGGCCCCATCCTGGTCCTTCTTATCCCTCCATATCCTCAGCAAGAGGGATGCTCACCTGATCATGGTGGTCCTACCCGGCCTTAAATTCATGGGGTCGATAGAACAGGCCAATTGCCATCATCATCCTCCCTTTGAAAGCCTGTTAATCTCCTGGAGGAGCATGAAGTGAGCTCAGGCTAAATAGAAAGTAGCTCTGCATCCCAATTATTACTATTATGGCTTTTCCTAATCCATCAGAGATGTGTTGGAGGGGTTTTGGGCTCTGCCGATGGCACTGCGGGATTTGGTGGGGGAGTAGGAGGCTTTTTGCTTTGGGTGGCTGGGTTTGCTTTCTGCTGCTGGAAGGACTGACAAAGCCAGGAGAGAAAGGAAAATCTCTTGGGGTGCCACAGCCCGGTCGAGACCTCACAGGGACAACTTCCCCTAAAATCTCCTGGATGGAGTGGAGCCATCCCAAAGGAGGACACTGCACCGCAGGCTGGAGGATGTCCCCTCCCTGACCACAGCCACCAGGATGATGTTGGTGCACCTGCATCAGCGTTCTCTTGGTGGCACCCAGATGCCACTGACCCACACGGGGCTGCTCCGTGGTGCCCATGGCAAGTTCCTGCCCTTCCTGAGGGGTGGCGAGGTTCTGGATGCAGTCCCAGGCCATGGAGAGGATGCCAGCGCCCGCCTGCCCTGTTGCCAAAGCAATCAGCTGCTCCATGCTCAAGGCTACTGCACACTTCCCATCCACCACTCCCCATCCCCTGCAGAGGCGTCCTAAATTACCAACCCCATCCTGACCCCCTTCCCCTCCAGCTTGGAGATGTGTGGCCCAAACCCTCGAGCCAGGGAAATATTAAATCCCCCATCAAAGTGTCTCTGTGGTGCCTCTGCACCGGGAGAAAACTCCAACCACACTTTGTGTGTGCACACAGATATTTCTGCAGGAGCACTGGGCCCTCTCCAGCCAGGCTACAGGACACCCAGTCCCTCTGACCCCCTCTCTGTGCTGTGGGTGCTCCTCATTGCATCCAGGACTGATGCCATATTTTCAGTGCCCTCTGCAATGCCAGAGGGACCCACCATCCCCTCTCTGTCCACCTCCTTGGTTTGGAAGGGGCCTGGAAAACAGCCTCCAAGGCAGAGCAGAGTGGACTGTGACACCAGTTCTCCCAGTGCTGGCGGTGCTTCTCCCACCAGCAGCACCAGCAGAGCTGGTGCCTCGGCCAGGGCCCCTCACCCCGAGCAAACCCCGGGGTCAAGGTCAGGAGCGATTTTACAAACCATGCCCAGTTTTCTCCCTTCTTGGAAAATCCTACTGCACATCATCCAGGTGCCTCCTGGGGCCGGTGGGTTGCGGGTGCTGAGCTGGCTCTGCTCCCCCTATCCTGACCCTGGGGCAGGGGGACAGGGACAGGGAACCCCCATTTGGGATCAGCAGCTACCACGACCCGCTCTCCTACCTCCCGGAGCTCCTTGGCCACCTCCTTGAGCTCCTGTAAGATGCCTTCCAGTTGCCCGATCACCATTTTCATCCGGCTCCGGATCCTTTCCCGTTCACAATTACTCTTGCTGCTGCTACAATTGCTGCTGCTGCTGCTGGGGTGGTCACTGGGCTGCCTGTCCTGGCAGGTCCGGGAGTCCATCCTTCCCTACCAGCCTCGGTTCCCGGCCCCAACGGCTCTGTCCATCCTGCTCCCCCCTAGCCGGGTGGCCTGGCGTCCGCGCAGCCCCTCTCGGCCGGGGAGCTTTCAACATCTTAACGTTCCCCTGCCTCCAAGGAAGTCCCAGCCGCACGCTCGCCTCCCTGCGAGGTCGGGGGGCTCTGGTTCGGAGCGGGGAGCGGGGTCGGGGTGCAGCATGCAGAGTCGGGAATGCTGCGGAGGGGACTCAGCCGGTGGCCGCGGGGAGGTGTGAGGTGGCCATGGGGTGAGCAGAGGGCGAGGAGGAGGAGGAAGAGGAGGAAGAGTTCCTTGGATGTCCCAGGAAGCTAAAATCCAGCGGCTCACGCCTTGCCTGCTCCCCGACGCCGGGGAGGGGAATGCAGGGCTGAGTGTCCCCGGGGAGCGACGCTTTTCCCCACGTCGGGCCCTCGCTCCGGGGTCTGCGGCTCCAGCGCTGGGGGGCTGTGGTGGGGGAGGTCTCCCAGCTGGGCACAGGTGTTCTGGGGAGACCAGGGTCCCCTCCTGCAAGGACAGATAGATAACGTGAGGGAGCCATCCCTTCTGGAGCCAGGAAGGTGGTGGAGGGGCTCTGCCCACTCCCACCTTGCCTTGATCTCAGCCCCGGCAGGAGGACAAGCCCCCAGGTACCCCCAGAGCAGCTCCCCCTAATTGAGTGGGGACAGGACGGAGCCTGACGCTGTCCCCCTCCTTTTGTCCTCCCCACTTCCCCACAGTTTGAGACCTGGAGAATGGGGGCACAGTGGGGTCTCGCAGAGCCAGATGGATGGATAGAGGGACAGACAGACAGGCAGCCGTGCGGCTCAGGAACTCACCGTCGCGATCCAGAACCTCCTTGGCTCCAGTCCAAGCTCGTCCTTGTCCTTTTTTTCCCCCTTCTCCTTTCCTTACTTCCTCCCCCTCCTCCTCCTCTTTCTCCTCCCTCAGGGCTTTTCCGTGGCACAAGAGGAGTCCGGGGGCCACTTTCCTTCGGTTGCTGTTGGAAGGGGTGAGACGTTACCGGAGGTGACAGCCCGCCGGGGCGGGGGGACGGGGACACGCGTCCCGGGAGACTCATCTGCTTGCGGGGGGGTGTCGGGCAGCCTCCTCCCACCTGGGGCCCATCCCACCATCATTCTCCTCCCGGCTTGGTTCAAACCCCAACCCCGCCTCGGCCGAGCAGGGGGGAAAACCCACCTTGGCCCCAAATGTCCCCCCTTCCCCCGGGGAGGGGGAAAGCAGCACGGGCGGAGGCGGAGTGAGGTGGGGGGGCGCGTCCCCTCAGCTCGGGGGTACGCACAGGGAGGGGGAGTCCCGGCATGCTCCCATCTCCATCCCCGGTACCCGCATCCTCCATCCCCCCTGCTCCCATCCTTCAGCCCCGGTACCCGCATCCTTCAGCCCCGGTACCCGCATCCTTCAGCCCTGGTACCCGCATCCTCCGGGGCGCCGGGGATGGAGGATGTCGGTATCCGCAGCTTCCATCCCCGCTACCTGCATCCTCCATCCCTGCCGCTCTCATCCTCCATCCCCGGAGCCCGCATCCTCCTTCCCCTCTCCCCGCATCCTCCATCCCCGGAGCCCGCGTCCTCCATCCCCGCTCCCCGCAACCCAACTACCCGCATCCCCCTCCGCTCCCTCCCTCCCTCCCTCCCTCCCTCCCTCTCCCCCTCTGCCCTCCCTCCCGGTGCCCCCGCACCCCCGCACCCCCGCGCAGTGCCCCCGGGACCGACCGGCGGCGGTGCGGGCTCAGGGCCGGCCGGTCCCCGGGCGCCGGGCGGGCGGAGCGGGGCGGGCGGCGCCCGGCGCCCCGGGCAGAGCCATGGGGCGGGCGGAGCGGCGGTGGGCGCCCGGCCCCCGGCCCCGGCCGCAGCCTCCCCGCGGCTCCCGGTTCGCTCGCCCCGGCGGCTGCTGTGTCAGAGAAAGGGGCTGAGCCTCCGCCGGGCGGGGGGGGCTTAAAGGGACCGGGAGCCCCGTTGCACGGGGGGCGGCGCCGGGGGAAACTGAGGCAACGCCGGGGGTCCCTTGCTGGGGAGGAAGGGAGTCTTGCCTCAGTTTCCCCGCTCTGTCCCCCCCGCTTCAAATAACAGGCTCGTTAAGGCTGGTTCCTTCTGAATGCAAAATGCCCCTCCCCTGCCCCGTGGGTCGTATTTGGGGCCAATTTCTGCAGGATCTGTAAAAACCCACCGGGGATGCGGGAGCATCATCCCAGCAAAGATCCTTGGATGGGAGGAAAAAACAACTATGGGTTTGTACGTGAATGTGTGTGTGGGGAGGGGGCTGGTCTGGTCTAGGGAGGAACCCCAAGGAGGGGAGGGATTTGCTCCAAAGCGGTGATCCAGCCTGGGGAAATCCATCCAGTTCAGCAGCAGTGGGAGCAAGGAGAGATTCCTGTCCTGGAGCTGAGCGGTGACGATAGGTGGCAATCCCAGGTCTGCCAGCGGCGAGGCGGCGGGTGCGCATTTATGTTATTTATTGCCTCCTACTGGGAATGTTCAAAAGTGCTGAACACACTTTTTGGCGTGGACCCGAACTGACTCATCCTTCAGCTTGTGAAGAGCTGATGCTTTGGGGGCTCTTCTGATTCCCGCAGAACATCCCGGTGGGAATCCAGGGATGGCAGGAGAGCCAAGGTGTGTGGTGGATGACGGCGAGCAGTCCCTCACTGGACAGATTTATTGGAATCATTTTTTCCAGGGTAATCATATGGGAAGTTTTCAGCAGGAATCTCCTCCAATATTTTGCACCTGAAGCTCAGCCAGGGACAACACGGCCACCTGGGTCCCCCACAGCCACCACGCTCCCCCTGCTTCCTCCAATAGCAGGTCAATGCCAGCTCGAGCTCTGCCTCATCCCAGAAATCAGCAGGGATACTGGGACAGCGATTTGGGGAAAGAGTGGAGGTTGTAAAACTCAGAGAGAGGTGCTGCTTCTGGGAAGTCCAGTGGTGATGCGGGATCAGGTGGGAAAATACATTGAATGATGTGGGGCAGAGGAGCAGCTGAACACACTCCCATGGGGGATAAAATGAGCGGCTGAGGTGTGGACTGAGGAGGAAACACGGCTCCATCCATGACCTGCTCTTCCCCTCTCCCAGCCGTGGTGGGCACCAGCAGCCCAGGGAGTTTTGGTCCCAGCCAGGTTGGTAAAAGATGCTCAGAAATATCCATGGTCAGCACTGGAGAGTGTGAGTACTGCCCAAAAACCTCCTGTCCATGGTGGTGGAGCTAAAGCAGCCAAAATGGCCCTGCAGGGATGTCCAGAGCCTCCAGTGTGGGGTCAGAGCCCCAAGCTGTGTCTCCTACAACCTGAAATCCTCTGGATGGTGTCTTGAGGATGTGAAACAAAGGGATGCAGTGAGGGATGTCCCCCCCACCAAGGGGATGGAAAGACTCAGCCCCTACGAGACACCCGAGAAGCCAAGCCCACAGCACACCTCACCCTTCACTCCTGCTTTCCTTTGCTCCAAAGCCCTGGATGGACATTCCCATGCTCCCCATCCTGGCTTGATCTTGCTGTGAATGCCACCGTGCCTCCAGCTGCTGGTGGATTCATCATTGGTGGAGGAAGAATAGGAGGAAGATGGAGTTTTCCTTTTAAAATTTATTTTCTGCTTCTATGTGCTGCTTTGCAAAGCCTGGATTCCCCCTCTGAAGAACCTGGAGAATGACACAGGATGTTTCTTCCCACCTGTGCATCACAGCCTGGATTTGGGAGTCATGGCCCACCCTGCTCTCAGCTCTCATCACCCTTGTGACTGATCCATGTTCTCCATCTCCCTGCCAGATCCAATCCTGTCCCACACCACCTTCCTCAGGGTCTCCCAGAGGATTTGGGGGGGATCCCCAAATGCTGCCCAGCCTTGGTACCCCACTGGTGGAGGTTTCCCCATGGGAAGGACACGGCTGGAGTGCGACGGGGAGAGAGGAGTGGCTTTATTCCCACCGCCCTAACCTCTCTCCCTCCCTCATTCTCCAATCTTTATTTATGCTTTTTGTCAGATCTGATTTACTGGGGATTTTCCCGTTCCAACAGGAAAACTGCTGGGAGGGGATTTCTCTGCAAGGCTTTCGGGCTCACAGGCATTTTATTTTGCAGGGTCGTGCCAGGCTGGTTCCTGCAGGGTGGCTCTTGGCTCAGCAAGCCTTAACGTGGGACCCCCAAGGTGGGGGGTCCCCTCTGGCCCCCCAGACCCCCGTGGTGGCCCTGGCCTGGAGCTGGTCCCCATTGTCATGCTGCTGGCAGGTGCCCTTTGCTGCTGAGCCGCTGATGTATCGCTTCCCTGCCGTGACTCACTGGCACAGATCTAATTTCTAATTAAATAGCGATTCTTTTCAGAGCCATTTATTTCTGTTTCTTTTGTATTTTGATTGGAGTGTCAGTCAGTTTTTCACCAGTTTGTCAATTCCTCTTTCCCTGAAGATTAGCGAGGAGAGATGTGAGAATACAGAAATATGTGTTAGCAACGCTGAGCCCGGGAGCGCCTTGGGCCCCGGGAAAAGCCTGAGGAGAATAACGGGAAGAAATCAAGGAGGAGACAGAAAATAATCCCAGAAAAAGCCTGTTGAGAGCAATGTTTCAAAATCTATTTTTTTTCCCCCACCTCTATCACCCTTCCCTGGCAGACCCAAAAGTCCTATCCTGCTGCCTTCCCATGGCAGCAGACGGTGCCTTCCGGGAGAAATCCCATGGGATGCTCACAGTGAAACAGCCTTCTCCTGGATGGACTTTATCCTTAGGTTAAAGGAAACATGGGATGTGAGAATTAACCTCTGAGGTGTTCCCAAACCTTCATGCTCAGCACATGGTCTGGGGGGGAAGGGGCCTCCCCTCCCTGCTGGGCGTCTCAGCTCCCTCCAGGGCTGGGGGGAAATCAAAATCCTCCCATCCAGTGAGGATTAGGGATTTTTTAGTGAGATGGTCCATGATGGGCTCTTGGGGGGAGGCTTAATCAATTCTTCACCAGAAGATCCTGGCAGCTCCAACTCTGCCTGGTATGTGGGCATCGCCCTCAACACCACATTCCAGCTCAAAGCCACACCACAGAGGGCCCAAATCCCAAATTCCCTGTGTTGGCTCATCCCAGCGAGTGCAGCACCCCTGGATTTGAAATCCCAGCCTGGCCGTGGTGAGGGTGGGGAATAAAAACT